GGCTAGTGCCCTGATTCCACTCCTATATTTTAAATTTGCCAAGGAAGACTGAAACCCTAGGCATCCCACCCTCGACCTCAATAAAGGCAGAACCTAGGCCTCGACCCTCTCTTTGTCTATCTCTCTCTCTCTCTGTCTCTCCCTGAAATCTCACTGTGGGGCCCTGGACATGCTGTGCATTGTCCAGGATTTGTGAATAATAAACTTTGTCTTTTTAAATTTCCCTGATGATTGCTGTGAGGTGCATCTTGAGATCATAATAAGAACCACAAGTACCTTCCAGCGTCAACACTGGTTCTGCTTGCCTGGGGGAAGGTCTGTGGAGGCCCCTGCAGTAGTAGGCACCCAGGCGCATGCCCCCGGGGTGTTCTTAGACGGGAGCAGCATGATCTGGAGGCTGAGACCAGCAGGAAAGACCTGTCACTGGTGTCCTCTACCTGGTAATTAACGTGAGGTCAGGCGAGAGGGAAGGAGGGACCACCAGCACCCCAGTTACCCCCATTACTAATTGTGATTCCTTAGGTGTGTTGACTCATTTGGGCCACGCCTCCTCGCAGGGAAGGAGCCGGGTACTAGCATCTGCTGCCTTCTTTAGTTGAGGAAACCTGATATTCAAGGAGCTTTCCCAGCTTGCCTGTCATTACGCAGTTAGCAAGAGGCAGGGCTGAAATTGAAGCCAAGCCTTCAAAGCCCACTCTTCTGTTTCCGTTGTAAGCACCGGGCCTGCGGGAATTGACAACAATCTCCTCAGGGTCTGATTTCAAGTGGGGGAAATTGGTGGCAGGTGAATGGAGCCAGAAACAAGGAGACACAGCAGCAAGAAGACCGCTGAGCCCACGCTGAGCCCACGCTGGGCTTCTTGGAGGCACGCCAGAGAGCGGCCCATTCCCCCATAGGAGGGTTCACTTTCGTGTTCACAGATACAGACTTCGTTTGCAGCCCATGTGTGCCTTCCTGGTGGGCCATTGAGTAGAGGGGCAGCCATAAGGCCCACCCAGGAGAGCAGGACTTGCCTTTCTCTGGACTTTGGGGGTGGGGGACTGGGGATCCCATCACAGGCTGGATACAATGGGCTCCCCAGGGCTCCCGTGAAAGGCACAGAGGCGTCCTGGGGCATCCCCAGCCATTCTTCAAGCAGCCCCTCCCAGACCTTCTCCTTGGGTTTCTAAATGACTTTTCATTCCCTTTCTCTGAAAGGAAGAAAAAGTACCCTTAATTGCACTCTTATCGGTGTCCACCCTCTGGGAGCTCTGTGCGTCCTGACCGGATCCCTTGCCAGAGCTGTAGGGCAGCCTTCTGTGAGGCAGAGCCCGCCTGGGACAAGGTAGCAGTCAGCATCTGTGCACAGGGCCCTGCAATGACCCATTCACTTCTTACTCGGGGGCTACAAAGTACAAGAGGGGGACATGACGCCACCCCCGCAGATCTCTGATGCCTGGATCCAGAGCGGAAGCTTTGAGACTCTGGAGGCCTGTGCCCTGAGCCCCAGCAGCCCCTTAGTTGGGGCAGGCAGATGGGGGACAGCAACATCAGCGGGGTACTGGTGGACCTCATTCTGCCTCAAAGTCCTTACCTTACCTTCCAAACTCCCCCCAACTCTGCTGGCTGCCCCCATGTAAACAGCAGTTTATCAGAAGGGCCAACCAAGGCTCAACTCAGAAATGGTTGGATCTGGGGGACTAATAAGGTTTACTATTTCAAGATAAGGAAGCATGAAACCTGATGCAGCCCTTAAGTAATTGTCATGACTTGAAGGTCTTAATACTTTGCCCAGAGAGGGAGGGAGATGAACTTTCACCTCCGCAGGAAGATGCATGCTCCTTTACATTCTGGAGGCTCACTTTAAGGAAAATCGGCCACTTCAAGGAAAGTCGTGTAAAATCTGTTTTTAAGCTGCAGTTTTTCTGCATCTCCAAAAATTAATATTTTCCATAAACATAAGGAGGTACATCACACACTAATTCTCTCTTAAGGAGGATGATCCTTTTCTCTGAGTTTTTGTGCTTTGCAATTAGTTAGGTGCTGTGATGACTTTCTTTGGTGAACGGATGCTGATAGTAAAAGAATAACCTGCTCTTTCGAAAATACTCTTAGGTGATAAAATAAAAAGTTGACAATCCTGAGTTAGTCCCCCATGTTCGTTTTTAAATTTGTATTATTCTAATACTTGTAAATGGTAGAGTGACTATGTACCTGCCTCCTCCTATAAAAAACCCCGCCCCCTACACACACACACACACACAAAATCAAGAAACAGCAACTCCATCTGTGCTAAAACTAGGCACTATCTGTCATCCCACCTGATCCCAGGTGCCCTATCTGGAGAAAGGCTGCCAAGTCCACAAAATCCAAACAGGAATGCTGGGGGGCCCCCAGAGAGATGGTGAACACCAGAATCAGCACAGCCAAGTTTGGCCCCTACAGGAAGTTGAGAGAGGATGCGCTCAGACAACTACATTCGTAGGCAGCAGTCTGCAGATGAGGCAGGCATTTCCACACAGCATCATGAGGCAGGTACCTGTTGGCCTGAGAGAGACGAATTCTAAACTACTCACCCACTCACATAACCTTGGGTCCTAAACTGCACTGTGGCCCAGGGAGAATTTGTGCTGGCTCTGTGTGCCGGACATCACTTGCTGGGGAGCGCACTGTGGTCCCCCAGCATAGTGGCTTACAATAACAACTATTTACCTGCTCAAGGTTCGGGGGTAGCAGATTGTGCTGGGTTCAGCTGACATTCCTTGGGGGTCACCCTCGTGAGGCAGAAGTCATCCTGTTGTTTGTCCAGGGCCGGTCCAAAATGGCCTCCGTCGTGTATCTGCCCCCTGGAACTAGAAAAAGAAATTCCACTTACCTCGGACTTTCTCCATAATGATTTGCAAAGCTAGAAGTCAGTAGAGCAATGTCTTCCAGGTTTTAAGAGAAAAGAAAGTGACCTAAAAATAAGGCTATGGAAAAATGTTTTTAAATGTACAAGAAATCAGGGACTATAGCTTCCATATGCTCTGTTTGAGCAAACCACTCAAGGGTGAAGGTTGGCCAACTGTTATGGGCTAAACTGTGTCCCCCTCCACTACCAATTATTCATATGTTTAAGTCCTAAACCCCAGTGCCTCAGAATGTGACTGTATTTGGAGATAGGATCTTTAAAGAGGTAATTAAGTTAAAATGAGATCACTAGGTGGACCCTAATTCAATATGACTGGTGTCCTTGTAAGAAGAGGAAATTCGGACACAGACGTGCACAGAGAGAAGATCGTGGGAAGACACAGGGGGAAAAGAGCCATCTACAAGACAAGGAGGGAGGCCTCAGAAGGAACTAAGCCTGCAGACACCTCAATCTTGGACTTCCAACCACCAGGACTGTGACAAAATTAATTTCTCTTGTTTAGGACACCCAGTGTGTGGAGCTTTTTTATGGTAGCCCTAGAAAACTAATACACAATAGAAAGTACTAAAATTAATGAGAAAAGAAATGGGATGAGCCATTTCATGATAGGGCTAAGTTAAACACAAATGTGGATAATATGTTACATGGCAGAACGTTTGTAAATGCATAAATCTGGCTTCAACAGACTTGGATTTTAGTTGTGTTCAGGCCTCCAAGTAACTTCTATATTGGGCACGTTGGTTGGGTTCTCTGGGCCACATTTTGCTCCATGGTAATAAATTACTTTCAAGGTAGGTTCCAGAGAATCCAAGGCATTCAGAGTGAGCGCCTCAGGAACTGCCAAGAGGATAAGGAGGGGAGTCTGTGGGGTCTGAGCTCTTCTCTACTCCACACGCAGGTCATGGGCTTCTCAGTGAGATCTCACTGGAAGGGGTTTTGCTGTGGCTAAAAAAACCCTAAACACCAGTGAACTGGATCATTTCTGAGTTCCCTTCCAAGTCAAAAAGCTATTAGCAGTTTAAGGTTTGTTTCATCCCATTGGCCTTAAGAAAATGTAAGGACATGTTGATAACTTATATGGGCCTCGGCTGAAAGTGAGGGTATAACCACACATGCTTCCAGCCAAGACCCACCGAAGAGTCAGCACGCCACGTCTGTCTCCTTGTTCCTCAGGACGGGCCTGCTGTGGGAAATGGACGCTACGCTGCTGAGAAGGAGATGCGTGCTGCCTGGCTCTGGGGTGGCGTCCGGGGAAGAGTTCGGAGTGACTGCCAGGCCTTGTGGACAGGAATAGACTCCGCTGGAGACATTTGTGCCAAAGCAAGTCTTGGTCATGGTCACTCTCTTCCCTGCTCCTCAGCTAATGGCTTGCTTCTCACAACTAAGTGGGGCCAGAAATTCTCTTAATGAGTAGACCAACTGCAAACAGCTTCCAAACAGCTGACCTGGAATTTTCCCCAAGACTATCCTTCAAGAGCCTCATGGAAGGTGACTTCCCCTGTTTCACATTTTTAGGGGTGGAAGTGTTTTCTGTCGTCAGAAACTCTGGAGGAGGGGAGTGTTTTCGAGGTGTGCAGTGCGTGGGCTGAAGAAGGGACAGAGAGAGGGCAGAGCAAGAATTACCCGAGGAGAGGATAATTCCGAGGGGAGACCGACAGAATGTCTCCTGGAAATTTCAGACCAGTTCATAGACCACCATGAGCTTGCAAACAAACTGTTAACAACAAGGCTTCCAGCTGGTCTGGAACAGGAAAGGGGAAACCCTGCGGCCATTCAGCAAACAGAGACCGAAAAACAAGTGGGACTCAGCAGACGGGGAGATTTTGCGGGGCAGCCCGGAGGAGGCCGCAGGGACCGGTCAGGGCTCCACAAAGGCTGTGGAGGAGGAGGGCGCAGACCAGGCTCTGGAAAGTAGCCAGGCCATCGAGGTCTATTTTACTGGGCTTCTGCTGGCGCCTTGGAGACCCGGGTTGGACAAGAACTAATAGAGCAGCTGGCTGCCTGACTGAGTCCCCACCCACTTGGAGGTGCTTTTCACATGATTTAAGAGCCTCGGTCGCCTCTGAAAGGGACAGCCCACAGAACTGCCATAGTTTGGGGTCTGGAAAAGTCCCCTTCAGAGAGAGTCAGAACAGCCCCATGTTGTGACCAGGCCAGAGCTCAGGCTAGCCAGGGAAGCAGCTGTTACCAGGGTGGCGGGGTCAGCAAGCAAGACGCCTAATCAGTGGGTGGGAGAGTGCGCCTGGGTCCCACCCAGAGGCTCCTTCCCATTTCCGGGGCTGCCCGAGACCTAGCAGCACTCGCAGCGTCGGTGACTGCAGTGTCTGTCCGCTGGGAAGTAAGAGGAGGACAATTCTAGGGAGTGGTCCAGGCGGCTCCCGCACTCCGTCGTGGATGATCTGGTTCCCACAGACGGCAGACACAGGTTCCGAGTTCAACTCCCCACTGAGTCGGGGACTTCTACTGGTCAGTATTTTCTGGAAACTCGTGCTCTTGCTATGTGCTGGTTTTGGTCACCAGGTTATTCTGCTCCTCCCCTCCCCCACGGAGAACATCATTCAGCTGTTCATTTACATATTTATTCATTCAACAGATACTGAATGCTCACTAGATGTAAAGCAACAGAAACAGCGATGATGGCGTGGTCTGGCATTGTGCTAGCCACTGTAGCGAGAGAGAAGACGTGGCCACCATCTTCGTGGACTTTGCAGCATGGTGGACGAAAGGTATGCTATTTCTTTTATTTATTTAACACGCACAGAGTCCCTGCTGTGTGCAGGCCACTGTTCTAGGCACCTTACACATATTAACACGTTTAACCCTCCTCACAGTCCCACGAGGTAGGGAATATTACTATCCCCCATTTTACAGATGAGGAAACTGAGGCACCCGGACATTAGAGGAACCTGCTCAGGATCGCACAGCTGGGAAGGGCTTAAATCCAGGCGGTCTGGCTCTAGTACCCGTAAACCTTACACCAGGATCCCTCTTCAGCAGATAAATACAAATCAATAAACTATACAGGAATGACCAGTCTGCTCCATGCTCAGAAAGAACAATGTGCAGGCGGTGGGGGTGGATTTTTCACATAGGTTGGGAGTCAGGGTGGACTTCTCTGAAGAGGTGACAGAAAGGAGGAGTCCAAGCAAGGAAAATTGCAAAAGCAAAGAGCCTTGGGTGAGAAAAGTCTTGGTGAATTCACGGGCCTCGGAAGGAAGTGACTGCTATTCAGTTTCGTTAGGTAGCTCTCAAGGTAAGGTAGAAAAAGAAGGACCTGTCTTTACCAAAACAGACATGGTTCTACACACTGATCTGCTGCTTGAGCTACGCAGCATGACCTTAGGCTATTTGTTTTACCTCACCGTGCCCCGGTTCTTCATCTCCAAATTAAAACAAGAATAAGTGCTTTGAAGATTGAATGAAGTAATACAGTCAAAGTTCTCAGTATGTACATAAGGTGGATATTGTTATTATTTTCACTGTAATTTTTAAATTCTCATTAAATTTGTTCCTTTTCTAGTATTTCCCGTATCAGCTCTTATCACCCTAGGCTTCACATTAAAAAAAAAAAAAAAGCTTCAATTCCTCTTTCTATTTTACCAACTTTTTTTCCTGGCTTTATTGAGATATAATTGATATGTAAAAATTATACATATTTAAGGTGTACAATTTGATGTTTTGATATAAATAGACATTGTGAAAAGATCACCATAGTCAATCTAATTAACATATCCATCAGTCTACATCGTTATCATTGTCTTTCTTCTGTGTGTATGTGTGTGATGAGAATACTTAAGATCTATCCTCTCAGCAAATTTAAGTATACAATACAGTATTTTTAACTAAAGTCACGCTGCTATCTGTTAGTATCTCCAGAACTTATTCATCTTTCATAATTGAAACTTTGTACTCTTTGACCAGTATCTCCCCATTTCCTCTCCCCCCAGCCCCTGGCAACCACCATTCTATTCTCTGCTTCTATGAGTTTGACTATTGTAGTTCATTGCAGCATTATTCATAATAGCCAAAATGTGGAAACAACCTGAATGTCCATCAATGGATGAAAGGATAAAGAAAATACAGTGCGTATATATACAATGGAATATTATTCAGTCTTTAAAAAGAAGGAAATCCTGCCATTTTGCAACATGGACAAATATGGGGGATATAACCCAAGTGAAATAAGTCAGACACAGAAAGGTAAATACTGCACGATCTCACTTATATGTGGAATCTAAAATCGTCATCAACTATAATCGGTTGTCAAGTCCTATTGATTCTACTTCTAGTTTCCATTGTCCTTTCACTCTCAAAGCCAATTAAGGAGTGGGCAAAGAGAAAGTTCCCTATGGACACTAACTGAAATGGAAAATAAACACCATTCGGAATGATGAAGAAGCTGGTGTTTACCAGAGGGAGAGTGCTGAACATTGCTGAAAGGAATGCTTGGATAAGTCAGGTGATGTGGTCATGTGATAAGCTCTCATCGAAAGATCACGAGTGGTAAGGTTTTGAGTAACTTCGGCTTCACCTACTTAAGGGAACGATTTGCCTGGACTTATTCTCTCTTCTCCTACCTGTGACCTGGAACATGAATGTGCCTCAGTCTGACTTTGACCATAAAGAAGAAGAAATACTTTAAGGGATGGTGGAAAAATAAAACGGAAGGAACCTGGTTCCCTGAATGACCTCATGAAGCAGGTTGTCCACCAGCCCAGACATACCCGGATAATTACGTACAATAGACATAAACTTCTCTCCGGTTTTCAAGAGTCTCTGTGTTATAGTCGTTCTGCTAAGTAATGCAGGCCTCCCTCTGTCCTGATCCTTCCATTGGCTGAGGCGGAGACAAACCACTTTCTCAGATACAGCGCTGGCGGGTCAGTATGATCCCAGAGTAGAGGGTGTGCACACATTCAGACAGACAGCTTAAAACGGCCTCACAGAGCACCCTCACCCTAGTAAGGAGCTGGAGCGGCGTGGTCAGGCCATGTTCCCCAGAGGAACACAGGAGTAGCTGAGGGGAGCTAAGGAGACTGGCAGTTAAAATCTCTGTGGCTGGCCACCCAAGATCTCATGGGAGTGAGAAGTAGTAGGCAGACTCGGTACAGAGCAACGTATAGGCTAAGCTGAAATGTAGATACAATCCCAGGGGTGAGAGTAGGAAATCTGAAATGACAGAGATTTTCTGCTACCCAAAGGAAGCAGACTTAAAAAAAAAAAAAAAAAAAAAAAAAAAAAAAAAAAAAAAAGCAGGACTTTAAAAAAAAAAAAAAAGGCCAAGTATAAAAGCAGAAAGAAAGGTGAATTTCCGGCACACCTCTGTTTGACAGCTGAGCTTTGTATGCACTGTAGTAATTCTAAGAGGGCTAGAGTCGTTCCTTGGAAGTGGACGATGTGCCAGATCCTGGGCACGAGCAATTTTGAGGAGTCTTCCCGACACCTCAGTCACGTTTGTATTATTATTTGCCCACTTTATGGATGGGAAAATGGAATCTTAGAGGTATTACGCATTACAACCCAGATCTCCCAGTTAGTCAGTGGTGGAATCAGGATTCCAATCTGAGCCATTTGGTCCGAAGCCCAGACTCTTAATTAATTAGTGTTCAAGGGTAAACACGGCTTCAGGCAATTTGCTTCAGAGGCTCCATTATCTGAAGTTGGATTGCCTATAAAGGATTGCTATTATGTAAACTTTTTTCTTGCCTAATGTGTGTATAGAAAAATACACGTAAGCGCATGACTCTATAAATTTTCACAAATTGAACACACCGGTATAACCAGCACCCAGAACAAGAAAAGAACAAGACCAGAACGCAAGAGTCCCAACTGTCACCCTCGAAGTCATCACCCCCACCTGAAGGCTAATCCTGATCCCAGAGCCCCCTATTCTGTGCCCCAGACTCAGGTCAGTTCTTGTAGACTTTTCCTTTATGGGTCCAGTTCATGAACCAGCGGTTCCCACTTCTCTTTTTAAACATTTTCCATCATAGAGAAGACGCCAAATCTTCACGTGGCTCGCCTTACCTGCTTTCTTCTTTCTTCTTTTAGGGCAATTCAACTTGGCAAATTTTTATTCCACCATACAAGCTGGGCACTTGGTGCTGAGCAGTAGGTTAGAGGAACAAATTAGACAGTCATGTCCCTGCCTCCTAAAATAGCAAAAGAATACAACTGGATACCCGTGTCCTGTTAAACCTCTTGGAAATGCAAGATGATATTATGGATATTATATGGCTGGTGTTGCTGATGCCTGATAAGGCACGACTGGTATTTTTTTTTTTTAAAGATTTTATTTATTTATTTGAGAGAGAGAGAGAGAGCATGAGAGGGGGGTGGGTCAGAGGGAGAAGCAGACTCCCCACCGAGCAGGGAGCCCGATGTGGGACTCCATCCCAGGACTCCAGGATCATGACCTGAGCTGAAGGCAGTCACTCAACCAACTGAGCCACCCAGGCGCCCCAGGCATGACTGGTATCTTAAGGTGTCTGGGCTGAGTGCTTTTTCAAGGGTCCCCTGGATACCTGGATGATGCTGAATTGGACGTTAGTTTGAAAGCTGGTTTAGGTAACACTTTTGGGGGCATAACTTGCTAGAGGGAGTGGACATTAGTACAATCTTCCAAAATCTTTTACGATGAGCATTTCTTATTTTGATCTATGCCATCTCTCTTCACCATTGCTTTGTCATTTTGTATCCTTATATTTGTTTTGTATTGACTCAATTATATGTTGGTTTATTTGTTTTCCCCCACAGCATAAAGATAACATATATCCATCCTTAACTGAAAATATAAAAAAATTTTTTTTGAGAATTTTTTCCCAGATATTTTTGCACCACACTTGCTATCATCAGAATTTTTAAAAAATTTATTATTGAAGTATACTTGACATACAAAGTTTTATTAGTTTCAGGTGCACAATATGGTGATTTGACAATTCTATACATTATGCAGTGCTCACCCCAGTAAGTGTAGTTACTATCTGTCAGTATATGTTATTGCAATAGCATTGACTATATTCTCTACACTGTGCTTTTAATCTCCATGACTTAACTTATTTTATAACTGGAAGTTTGTACCTCTTAATCACCATCACCTGTTTCTCCCATCCCCCACCCCTCCCTTCTGGGAACCACCAGTTTGTTCTCTGTATTTATGAGTCTGTTTCTGTTTTGTTTTTTAGATTCCACAAATGAGTGGAAGCATATGGAATTTGTCTCTGTCTGACTTATTTCAGTTAGCATTATATCCTCTGCATTATTGTTTTTTTGAACCTTGGAAGTCATGGTAATAGAAATGTTTACTTAACTAATTCCTTAAGTAATGGGTGTGCTAGTGTTCTCAGCTCTTCAGTTGCCCATACCAAGCTGTCTTTCAAGGGCTTCTCTCTTAAGGAACCTTTGCATCCCGTGCTATGAAATTGAAAGGGATAGAGTAGAAGTATCTTGAATATGGAGGGGGGTTTGCAGGTAGGTGCTTGGGCTCTTTTGGACTGGTAGCATGGAGAAGTGAAGAGAACTCTTTGATATTAAAGAAAGTAAATGGATGACTTTGCATTAATTAAAAAACAGAACTAAAGGGGGAATACAATAAAAGAGAAAAGGGAGAAGGGAATTGAGGTTAGCACTAGCAGAGAATGGAGCTATTTTCCTAAACTTTGGGCAAAGGGAAGCTGCAGAATTCCTCCGCCCTGTAAGTAAAGTCAATGTTTGCCACTAGGTGGCA